GCCTCTAGGTCCCATTGTTTCTGGGTGGTCTGGCAAGAATTGTTTACAAAATGTTTGCACTTTCTCATCTACCTGTGAATTGCCTCCATTCCCTTAGAATGGCCTCTTTCCCCCCCTCCCCTAACCGCCCCCTCCCCACTCCCTTAGTCCAGAATGGCACATAAGCCTCACATGCCAGATTTCTCCTCAGGTCCCATATTCTTAGGGAAGCCCAGTACGAACATACATACGTAATACATTTGTTGTGTTACCCATCGGAGACACTAATAATAGAGACAGAAATGCAATGCAGAGAACCGGGAGGAGAACAGACAGCGCAGTCTGACCCGGCATCCTCCTTGACTTCAGTCTTTTATTAGAGATAACAGAGGAACAGGTGGTAGAAAATAACAGGCACGCCCCTAAGGCTAAGGGAGAAATGCTTAGTCTAAGAGCTGTTTCTTAGCTCAAAAAGGACAAAACAGTTTCAAGGACTTTGACTTCACATATGCTCTCTCAAAAAGAACAAAACAGTTTCAAGGACTTTGACTTCACATACACTGTTTTCAGTGGCAAGCATCCAGCCTCCCTCAGTTGACCTCCGAGCTTTGGCTCAGGCAGCAACCTTACAATCTTGGTTTTAGGGGCCTTTGTGGGGAAATCCCTAATGTGTCCCTACGCATTTGGTTATTTTCTCCTATTACTTCATCTCATGTCAATTTGAATATTAGACCAGCCAGAAGGACTTAGATGGTTAGAAGTAAAATTATCTTTCTTCCCTAGAAAGGCAATCATGTGGAAGGGGTAGTAAAATAGCTGGATTTAAAGTATTACAACAATGCGTGTGACATGATGGAGGTGTTAGCTAATGCTACTGTGGTCATTATATTGCAGTATATAAATGTATCAAATGAACACCTTAAACTTCCTCAATGTTATATGTCAATTATATCTCAACCTAAAAAAAAAAAAGTTCTTATTGTAGCATCTGTTTTATGTTGGATGATTTTGGGGAGGGCTCAAGACAACCATGCTTTGTCCTGGGCTGAAGGCTCTCAGGAAGGGAGAGCATAATTCTGTGATTCAGTACCTTAATAAAAATTTTATCTAGAAGAAGGAGAAAAAAAGTATTACAACAATGCGAAATGATGGAAGTGTTTAGTTAAAAGTGCCTGTTTACAGATTGCTTGTCCCATGTGGAGAGGGGCTGTTGCATCCTATATAAACTTGCAGAATAGTAGAGACAGCATGGGCAGCAGAGATAAATGGGGGAGGCTGATATGAGAGTACTGGCTCTGTCAAGGGGTGGCAGCTGTGGTTACTACAGGTAAACCTATGCTATGGGGTCGATTTGGTGTGAGAAATATGCCATAGGACATACCTGAGAGGCAGAAGATTGTCTTCGAATGCCTGCAACAATCCCATTATTTTCATGGTAGTATAAATGTTTGTCAAAATTAGGTAAAACAAGAGCTCGGGGCTGTGGACAGAGCTAATTTCAAGGATCCAAAGGAGGCTGATGCCTCTGAAGGTCAGGAAATAGGCTCCGGGAGCAGGGCATACAGAAGTTTAGCAAGGGCTGCGAAACTAGGAATCCATGCATGGCAATAGCTAGCTGCTCCAAAAATGTATGTATGTTTTTTTGTTTTGGGGAGAGGAATGGACAAAACTGACTCCAGGCATTTCAGGGTGAGTTTTTGAATACCCTGAGACATCTCATGTCCTCAGTAAATAACCGGTTTGTTCCCATTGAAGTTTAGATCTGGAGACTTTATGGCCTCGTGCAGCTTGTGCCTTTAAGAGAGTGAGGGAATCTATAACCGTTCCCCTGCTTAGTTTTATTACAGAGCAAAAGGTCAATATATTGCAGTAGCGTGAAGTTTTATGTAAAGGTTATAGAATCTAAGTTGGTCTTAAGGACTTGGGAAAAATATTGAGGAAGACTCACAATATACCTGAAGTATACAAGTCCCATGTTCATTGCCTCCCTTTCAATGTAAATGAAAAAAAGAAATCGTGAGCTGGGGTGCAAAAGGATTGAAAAGAAAGCTGACAGGCTGTGGGGAAAAGGGAACCCTGGTGCACTGCTGGTGGGACTGCAGGCTGGTGCAGCCATTATGGAAATCAGTATGGAGGCACCTCAAAAATCTGAAAATGGAACTACC